TCTTCATGTTTAGTGTGGAACCGTTCGAAACTTCCTAACAGCCATATTGCTGGTTGGCTTAAAGTATGTTTTTCAGAGCGCCCACGTCGCTATCGAATGTGATACAAGGTCGAGGGTTATAGTTCACTGGTTGACCTAAGCGTTGTGTGTAAAAATTGAGGTGTGCTATAAGGCCAAATTATTTTATCTTTAGCCTGTCCTCGATATATCTGGAGCTAATAACTTGGTAATAAATATATTCGGCAGCCTGGTTACTTAGCTAGAAGAAAAACACAATGATTGAAATTATTTTAAATTATCATTTCACCTCATGCAAGAATATAATGCCTCCAAGGCGCAAAAAGTTACTTGGAGTGGAAAAGAATGAGGAGAAAGGACAATAAAATAATAAGGTTCGGGAAGAAGTGATTGATGTTGCATTTAAATGTTTTGAACGTTGTAGGTGACAGGTGAGTTCCACAGGCAAGAATCCGAGAAACTAAAGTATAGGAACAGAATGTGGTTACATCTCGCTATTTCACCAGTATGCCAATAAGACCTAATAGCTAATCAACGTAAATTTGCAATCTGCCACAGACGCAAATGGCACAATATTCCAATGAGAAATCACCGGTTCTGATTAAGTCAACGAAGTTAAGCGATCGATGAACAGGCTCAGTATTTAGAGGGGTGGGCACTGAATCACGAGCAGCGTGTGGCGTGAGTTCCAGACGAAGAAAAACTTGGAAGTTCAGCTTATATATCGGAAAAAAAAATTAGAAGTTGACGCCTGCAATCGCAAGCGTTTACGGAACGATAATACTAGAAACATGAAAAGGGTAGCAACTTGAAAGCGTATTATCAAGAAATTCCTTCCGTTCGGAAACAACAAGTCCGCTATAAAGGTAAACAATGCAAACAAAGGCAGCGAGGGAAATAAACGATAAGAACGCTCGATTTTTCTAGAAATAAAAAAGAGAAACTTCATTTACAATATAAGCAACTTAGATGTAGACATAAATGAATGATACTTGGATTGCACTAATAGATGGTTTAAGTGCTATGGGATTTTATTCCCAGCCATTTACCATAAAACATGTAAATACAACGATTTAAAATATCGGCTTATTCCGCCAGATATGTAAAAATGAATAATTTGGGCTCACACGAGACTTAGCTTTAAAGGTGGAAAACTGCTTTCTTCGCAAAACATCCATAATTAACTTCTAGTATATCGGAGACATCTTTCTCGCTCTGTCATATAAGATGTCGGTCGTCATGTCGACGTTGATCACTTCTGCTGCTGTTCGTCGAATCTTTTTGAGTTGATGAAGGAAGGGATGGTGATGTCACCATAGAGATGCAGACATTACCAAAGGCCCCAGCCGCGACCCCCGCCCCAAAAAATACAAAAAAAAAAAAAAACAAAAAAAAAAAACACGAAAAGGCGCTTACTCGCTCTTTTAGAATCATCTTCAAGGTGCCTTTAGACTCACGCAAGTCCATTTGCATACGCGCGGGAGAAGTCTCTATGTGGGCAAAATAAACGGAACAGTTACCTTTTCTTTCCTTTTTTCCGCTGGTATACAAAAATCATTACAAAAGCAGGCGATAATACACATCGGCGATAAAAAAAAATCATTAAATTAGCAGACGACAACATGTCGTTACAATTTGATGCTCAATGCTTTAAGCCTTGTGTCACAACTAAGCTTCGTTTAGTAAATTACCTTTTGGTGCCCAATACTTTAGGCCTTGTACCTCAGCTAAAGCCTAGCTCACTAAATTACCATTTAGTGCTCAATACTTTCAGCCTTGTGCCACTACTACGCTTCGTTTAGTAAATTACCATTTGGTGCCTAATTCTTTAGGCCTTGTACTTCAGCTAAAGTCTCGCTAACTAAATTACCATTTGGTGCTCAATACTTTCGGCCTTATGCCACTACTAAGATTCGTTTATTTAATCGCTATAGATATGTGCCCGGCTACCAACTTACTGATTCGCTGTCACATTTTTTTTCCAGAAAATATAAAATATGTTAAATTCAAACCAGCAAGAATAAAGTCTCCTCTCCGTTGTATATAGAAATTCTTGTAAAATATTCATTATCTATGGGGCCTTAATATGAAGAAATAGAGTATGCAATGCATTCTCTAGTGGCTGTAAACAGCGACAACAACAAAAAGCAGCCCCTGAGAAAATATAATTCAATTCAATAGTGGTACAACTTGAAGTAAGGCGATTCCAGTTAAAGAATACCAGTTCGTATTACGTCGGCTTTCATATCTATAACTTATTTACTACAAAATAGACTTTGTTCTGTTCAGCTCTTGTTTGTATTGGCCACTCCAATGTGCCCAGAGACAATGACAGTCCTCTACTGAACATCGAATTCATAAAAAAACAACCTGTAGGCATCACTTTTTATAGATACATCGCCGTCCATTTTCACCAGTGGAAACTGCAGTCGGCTTTGGGCAGTTAGAATGAGTTAGCCAAGCCTTCTGCTTCCGGTAATCAATCTCGTAACATCCGGTGTCCTAAGGAAAGAGGCCTGAACATACGGTTACAAGACGAAAACTGCTAAATTAATTTAACATGGGAATTATCCTGCATGGTGATATATAGATATGAAATGGAACGGCAGATCATTTTTTTTTCTTCATTATAAAAATAGCAGGTGCTGAAAAGTTAACCTAAAATATAGTGATTTTCTAAGCGTAGATGTGGCACAAGGCTGAAAACTTGGCGCACCCAGTGAGAATCGAAATCACTACTCTGTCGTAAGTGATATCGCGAGACAAGCCCACTAAACATGACACGACATCGAGGCGCCTAAGTTATCCTAAAATATGACTAAATAACAAACTACAAGATCTTTGGATTTTTTTTTTTTTTTGTAGATCTCCTTAGATGGATGGTGAAATTTTTAGCAGTCGTTTTATATATAGGGTGTTCCATTAACTTGGCCCGGTTTTAAATGTGAATTAAATTTAAGCGTCTAATGATTATTTTTCTTTTTCTTTCAGATTTAACAACTTAAGTCTTTGGCAATTTCAACCCTGGAAAGATTAACAATCAAACAACGTGTTAAAGTTATCGAAGTCTATTACATAAATGAACGCTCAAGCAAATGCAATGAGAAGTTCCCGGGTAGCATCATCTCTCGAAACAACGAAGTCAATTGGTCACCACGACTGTGCAACTTGATGCCTTCAGATCTCATCCTGTGGGGTCATATTTATGAAGCTAAGGGTCCTAAATATTGTTTGAGTCGGGTTGGGTTGGTGGATTTTACGATATATCAACCGGTGTTGTTAAGTTTAAGCTTCTAATGATTTTTTTTCTTTCAGATTTGACAACTTAATCTTTGGCAATTTCAACCCTGGAAAGATTAACAATCAAATAGAGTGTTAAAGTTATCGAAGCCTATTACGAAAATGGACGTTCAAACAGAAATGAATTTCGCGCACTTCACGATATTTTTTTTGGTCAACATAATCGACCAACCAAGAGTGCAATTGGAAAAATTGTTCGTAAATTCAAACAAACTGGGTCTGTGGCAGATGTGAAAGAAAACCACTGCGTGCTTGTTTACGCCGTTCAGATGAAAACATTGCTGCAGTGCACGAGAATGTGGCCGAAAATCCAGACACCTCTATTCGTCATCATTCCAGCCTTATGACGCCTACTAAAAGAACAAGTGTAGTTGAATAGTTTTTCCATTTTGTGTTATTATTTCCAAAATTTTGTCAAGTTTTCAAACATTCTTCGACATTCTGGTGGTCCCAATGGAGGGCAAACTGTGACAGTAACGATCACACATGTCTTGGATTGATATAAAGAGATAGACCGGAATAATGGCAGCATCTGACAGAAAGAGATTTTTTAAAAATCCTTTCACACCAAGCAAGGCGGAGATGCCACTAGTACGCAAGGGGTTAAAGAGAGTGAAATGTGAGGGAAATAACTGGATACAGGGGTTGATTGAGGAAAGGATAAAAGTTGATCGGAGGTCAAGTCAACAGTAGATGACGGTTGACGTTGCATTTAAATTTTTAAAGATTGTAATTATCAGGGAAGCACAAAAGAGGAAAGGAGTTCTACAAGCCGGAAGTACGAGAAAGGAAACTTTTAGGGTAGAAGTGACGTTTACATTTATTTATTTTAACAGTAAAAGGGTTGGACCTAGATGCCAATCTAGTAGCACGTTTAAATTCTTGTAGTCGGCGTACCAGGAAAAAAATAGCTCGTCAGAGCAGTATTTATGAAAATATTTCTAGAAAAGACAGAGGGAAGCCACATCACGTCGGTCAGAAAGTGACTGAAGTTGAAATGCCAAGTCAGTAGATGTAGGGGAGTGATGACCACACATCGGCGCAAAATGGGCTAAGTGATTAAATGAAATGAAAATAAATAAAATATCAAAGCTATAAATAATCTTTTACTAAATTAACTATTTGAACTCAGTGTATTTTTCTTTTACTAATGTTTACCCAATTCAAGGCACAAGAGACAGTCAAAGTAGAGCGCTTACTGAATGCGGTTGTTGTGTGCACGCAAGTGGAACATGTTAGAAGTATGGAGATATGCAGGATAGGGAACGATTGACCCTAGACTTAAAGGGGTCAAGATTGTAGCGATTGAGAAAGCATCCAGCCGGGTTTCCATTCCACAATGTAAGGGTTCGTGGGAAGAAGCTGGTTGAATGGGACTTTCTTCCTATTAATGGGATACGGAAGAAATGAGTCGTCAGAGTGTACGTGGCATAGCAAGTGTTTGCTGTGAAGGTTGCTTCAATGTTAGCAAGTGTAATTTAAGACCTAACCAGCACCTTCCTCAGTATCATATCTGCCTGCTGACGATATGAATATCCTGCCATTGTTGAAACAGAAGACTTCTCATTTAACCCACATCTAAGTTTCACTTATTAAATCACTATATACATACTCCAATAGGCGTTTTATCTGTTTTTCTTCATGTGGAATAAGCGCATTGGTAAGGTTAACGCCACATCAAGTTAAAATACTGGTTTCCCTACAATCACCGAAGTTAAGCAACTTTGAGCCTGGTCAGTAGCTGGCTGGGAGACCACTTGCGAATACCAGACGCTGTAGG